CTTTTTCAATAGGAATAATCGACTATATTTTATTACTATTTTATAGCTTATAAAACTTGGCCTGTTAAGTTTGCAAAGTCTGCATTCACTATGACTCCCACTAATCTTTCCAGTCTCCTCAAGTTGAGAAAAGACAAGTACCTGCTTGCTGCATAGATTCCTCTCCATGACAACAAGGCAAAACAAAACATTTATTATAGACAAGTGGATACTAAATTGCTCATGGCGTTGCCTTATTTCAGAAGCTGGAAAAGCTACAACTCATTTTCTTGATAAGGCAGCAAAACGGCAATGGAAGTAACATCTAAGGAATGAACATAGGTTGATTGATAAAGAGAACAGAGGTAGCAATTACTAAAAGCAAGTCTTTCTTGTGAAATGAATTTGGTCAGATAAAACTACTCATAAAACCACAGAGAAGAAAGAAGGCAAGTCCAGGCAAGTGTTCCTGTAGTAAAGCCATTTATAAAATTGTCACATAAACCTCTTCTCTTGAAAAGGTGAAAATTGACTAATGAAGAAAATATGCTAAAAAAAATGGTGAGTTTTAGCAATTTTCCTCAAAATTATAGAAAGTGACAGAACTAGAACCTGAGTTAAATTTCTTGATTCTGAGTTAGTTACAAACATACTATAGTACATTACGACCTAGACCAGTGGTCGGCAAACTGCGGCTCGCAAGCCACATGCGGCTCTTTGGCCCCTTGAGTGTGGCCACGAAGTTTCAATCGCACTGTACGTGCGCGCCCGCACGTGGTATTTTGTGGAAGAGCCACACTCAAGGGGCCGCAGTTTGCCGACCACTGACCTAGACCATAGATAACTCATTTTAGCTCAAAATTATTTTTAGAATGAGTAAAATAATAAAATTTAAGCAAGATTTTGCATTTAGCCAGGACTGTAATTGAGATCTAGGTTGCAATCTTAGCTTCCTTAAGTATTAGGGAATTATTTAGTTTCTCTGAACCTGTTTTCACTATTAAAAAATGAGAATAAAACATATTATTAAAAAGAAAACAAACGAACAACAGCAAAAATTTACCATTAGACCAGATACCTTGAGTTGTTGGGAATATAAATATGAACAACAAGGTGAGGGAAATAAACGGTAGAAAAAAACAATACAGACAAAATAAAACTAGTAAAAGAATAAAAAGGGCCCTGGCTCATGTGTCTCAGTGGTTGAGTGTCGTCCCTTGCAGGTTCACTGAAAGGTTGCACGTTTGCTTGTCAGTCAGGGCACATACCCAGGTTTCAGGGTTGATCCCCAGTTGGGGGGTGTAGGAGGCAGCCGATTGATATTTTGCTCTCACATCAATGTTTCTCCCTCTCCCTTCCTCTCTCTCTAAAAATCAATACAAAAAATAAAAACAAATAGGACCTAATAGCTACAATGAATGAAAAAAACAAGAAAAAGAAGGTGCTAATATGTGCTTAAGAAATACTATTCCATTTCATACCTATCTTCCCCTGCTAAATTATGACTTAAAAACACTGAACATGAACAGTATTTAATTTGCCCTGGCCAAATGGCTCAGTTGGTTGGAGAATTGTCCTGTAGACCAAAGGGTTGCTGGCTGAATTCTGGATTGAGGGTTCAATCACTGATCTGAGCACAGATGGGAGGCAACTGGTGGATGTTTCTTTCTCCCTTCCTTTCTAAAAGTCAATAAAAATAATATCCTCGGGTGAGGATAAAAAAAAAAGGCTTATTACTGGGAAAAGAAGATTATTTAATTCACCTTCTTGAGTAAACAAAGTTATATAATTAGAATATGAAATATTTACTATAAATTGCAAGATTGAAGTACAAGCACTTTATGAATATTAGTTAACAGCATGCCTGAGGAGGCAGTATAGCAGATTCAAGCAGGTCCTCCAGCCAGAAAGATTGTGTTCAATCACATAATTTAAGATTGATTGAGCAGAATACTTAACCTCGCCAAGTCTAGTTGGAAAATGAGAACAATATAAGCACCCATTTCACTGGATTGCTATGAAAGATTTAATGACAAAGCTGTAATGCTTTAACTTTCAGCTCAGTTCGGTATAAAAACAAGCACACAGATCCATTAACAGATTAGAGAGCCCAGAAATCAAGGAATCAAGGAGTGTCGCATGAGAGAATGAACCTCGTTCGAAAAGAGGGGTGGGGAAAA